AGTCTTGCTCCTCACCAGGCACCAGGCTGGAGTGCAGTGGCACAATCTCGGCTCACTGCAACCTCCGCCTCCTGGGTTCAAGCAATTCTCCTGCCTCAGCCTCCTGAGCAGCTGGGACTACAGGCGTGCTCCACCACACCCAGCTAAATTTTGTATTTTTAGTAGAGACAGGGTTTCACCATGTTGGCCAGGATGGTCTTGATCTCTTGACCTCACGATCCGCCCGACTCCGCCTCCCGAAATGCTGTGATTACAGGCGTGAGCCACCGCACCCGGCCAAATTCAAGCATTTTAAGTCAATTCTAAGGATCTCCATATTGTTAGAAACCAGAACAGCAGTTATTTTTGTCGGGTCAGAAATGTATCTCGAAGGTGAAAAGCACACAAAAGATTATACTGGTTTTATCTCCCTTTTCTTATCTTCCCCTCCCTTTTCTTTTCTTCTGAGAAACTAAATCCCACCTAACCCACATTAGCAGCACTGACAAAAATGCAACAAGAACACCTTCTATTCCGTGGAAACAAGAAATGACTTTGGCACTAATTGGTACACATATACTACTCCCATAGCGTTGCTTTTTAAAGTACAAATTTTCTTTGTTCTATATTATGTATGTAAACAGTATTTATATTCTCTGAAGAACCAAATGTAAAAAAAAAAAAAAAGAAGAAAATTTTGAAAAAACCCATTTAGTAAGAGGAAAAGTGGGGGCCTGGAGTGGTGGTTCATACCTGTCATCCTACCACTTTGGGAGGCCAAAGCAAGAGGACTGCTTGAGCTTAGGAGTTCAAGGCCAGCCTGGGCAACACAGGGAAAGCTTGTCTCTACAAATAAAAAGTAAAAAATTAGGCCTGGTGGTGCAGGCCTGTGGCCCCAGCAACCTGGGAGGCCAAAGTGAGAAAATCGCTTGAGCCCAGGAGGTCCAGGCTGCCTGCGCTACCATCGTGCCACTGCACTCCAGCCTGGGCGACAGTGAGACCATGCCACAAATAAAGAAATTAAGATGAAAAGTGAAAGGAAAACCGTCAGGAAGAAAGCTGACTCCTCACTTACTTTTTTGGATTAGTTAATAATGCATACATTTTTATGCTTTTTTTTTTTTTCAAACTGCCTTCCAATCATCAAATCACAGCATCAAACAACTGTTCAACATTATAAAGTATTAGTGGTAAATTTTTTACTAAACTGCTGCCTGTCATAATACTACCGTATCATGTACCAGTGACATGCAAAAAGCCAGCTTAGACTCTGGTCTTTCTAAAGTGTTAATCTGCTCAATCATGCCCTCCAATCCAAACAATATGGTAAACAGTTCTAACTACTAACCAAAAATGGTCACAGAGAATCCAAATTCTAGGCATAAGACTAAACATCGGTGAGTGGAACTGGCCAAACCATCGCACTGCATTTTGAGGCCTGGCACAAAAGAACAATTTTGGTAACTCCACCGTCTTTGGGCATACTAATACCTAAACACAAAATACAGCCAGCAGTTCTGGTGCACAAGAGGCCTACCCAGGAAACAGTAAGTTCTTGAGTCGCTAAGCATACCGTCACACCGACACACAAGAATGTGGCCCGCTTGTGAGGCAGCAACGCTGCAGCCAGAAACTCGAGGGAAAGGTCTTCCTTTCAGGGTGTTTTCGGCCTCACCAGACCTGCAGCAGCCCCCGCCGCTCTCAGGCCCACGGTGGCACACCTCCTGCAAGCCTCCGGTACGAGGGCGGCGAGCAGCCCCACGTCTCGGGTTCTCCCGCTGAGGAGGAGTGGGGTGGCGCCGGAGCGGGAGACGAAGGCGAAGGAGGCCTGGCAGTGCCCGCCCTGCCCTACCCAGCCTCCGCGGGCCCCCGCGCAGGCAGCCGTAACAAGGCTGCCCGCGGGGCCCACTTGCAGGAATGACAGCGCCTGAGGAGCCCACTCGGGCTCGTTCCCCGGAAAACCCCAGCTGCCGGGGCCCCAAGAGTGACCCTGCGCGCAGGGCCGCGCAGATCCGGGACCTAACGGCAGAACGGGCGCTTCTGCCTGGAGGGTAACTGGACCCTTGGAGTTCGCCTCCGCCCCCCGACACGGGCTGAACAGGCTCCTCCACGGTAAGACCGGTCTCGAGTCTCTCTTTCCCCACACTGCCCGCGAAAGAGCCCTGAACTTTCCCCTGGGGGACGTGTCGCTGCCCCAACTCGCCCCCCCTAATTACGACATCAGTCACCATCAAGTCACTCACTCCGCTTCCGCCATCTTCTCTCCTCCATCACTAACGTGGGCTGCGCATGCGCCCCCCCAGCGGCAGGCGAAGGGGCAGACGGAGGGGCGGGGTCGACACAGCCCGCGGCGCCCGAGGTCACGTGGGCTTCCAATCGCCCACGCCCACCTCGGGAATTGCTCTCTCTGGAACACCTGATTTCAGAACACTTTCAGTGACCAGATTTCCCCAACTTAGATACCAGTGTCTCCTCACCAGCCCCTCGCTTTCTCTTGTCCAGGATTTTATTCCTCTTGGGGAGGGGTCTGTAATAAAGAAATAAAAAGTTCTTAGATTGTTAAAATTTTTTAAATATCTATGGGATCGGTGGCTCACCTGTAATTCCAGCACTTTGGGAGGGCGAGGAGGATCACTTGACGCGTGGAGTTCAGGACCAGCCTGGACAACAAAGCGAGACCCTGACTCTACCAAAAAAATAACAATAATAAAAAATTTGGGCTACGCACAGTGGCTTACGCCTGTAATCCCAGCACTTTAGGAGGCCGAGGCGGGTGGGGGGAGTCGAGGGGGGGGTTGGGGGGGAGGGGGGATCACCTGAGGTCAGGAGTTCGAGACCAGCCTGGACAACATGATGAAACCCCATCTTTTCTAAAAATATAAAAATTAGCTGGGCGTGGTGGCGCGCGACTGTAATCTCAGCTACTCGGGAGGCTGAGGCTGGAGAATCGCTTGAACCCGGGAGGCGGAGGTTGCAGTGAGCTGAGATCACACTACTGCTCTTCCAGCCTGGG